GCACAACCTAGCGTGAAATCGGATTAAAACACGAGAATCAATGTCTTAAACGGCTAAAGAATAGGGGTAAAAACATGTGTAATTAATGGTCTATCAAGTACTAGGGGTGAACAAACACACCCGCAAACCGACCCACCCGTCCAACCCGACCCAACCCACCCGTATTTGTCGCTAAATCGAAGGTTTTGGGTTGGGTGAGGGTTTTCTTTTGTACAACCCGCCTCATTTGGGTTGGGTTTGGATTTTAGATTACACAACCCGTAGAACCCGACCCAACCCGTGTTCCAATTATTGGTATGAGTTCGTATCCAAAAAAATATTTATGTCGTATATAGTCATACTTATGAGAAAATTAAGATATTTCACCATGTTTTTCTATTAAAGTCTCACTAATCTAATGCATTCTTCGACTTAAAGTTTAGACATATATTTAATATAGCTATGATTCACGTATTTTTTTTTCTTGTGTACAATTTTAAAAAATATCATATTATGGATGCGTTCATTTGTAACCTTTTTAGCCTATTTCAACAAATGGCATGAAAAAAACTAGACATAAGTTGAAGTAAATCAAGTTTTATTAAAATTCAAACAATATTTGTGAATTTTGATACATTTCACCTCGGTTTATTCGTTTGAATTTTTAATTTTTTATAAAATATTTTTATGATGTAGAATAATTACATATTTTGTGTTGGGTTGGGTTTTTACTTAAAAATATCGCCAACCCGACCCAACCCAATTAGAAACAAACCGTAGGGTTTAGATTTTTTTGGGTGGGTTTGGGTTTAATATTTCCCAAACCGTAGTGCATGGGCCGGGTGATTAAAATGCCTAAACCCGGACCACCCGACCCATGTACACCCCTATCAAGTACCACACAAATTTAGTGATATCTGGCTCGCAAATCTAGGTTGGCAAAGAACTAAGCTCAGTGTAACTCATCCAACATGTCCTCCATCATTGGGAACGGGAACCGATCCTTGATGGTCGCTTTGTTCAAGGCCCGATATCAGTGCATAATCGCCAAGTGTTGCCTTTTTCCTGCTTACATCATCTCCTCTACTTGCTTCTCTATTTTGATTTTCTGAAAAATAAGGGTATCGATGCAAAACATTGATTGCTTCTATCCCTTCCTATAACTAAATGCAGTGATCTACCATCCGTGTTGGGAGCAAGGTTATCGGCTTTGTGAAAAGATCGTTATACTCGTCTAGGGTCTTTTGAATCTCTGGGGCAACTGGCACTTCTTCTGTAATTCTCTCCGGAACACAACGTTCAAAGCTAGCAAAGTCCTTGCTAAGCAAGGTATCTAGCTCGCCGTACTCTGGGCTAACCGCGCATATTCCCCGTAATGTCCTCTCCATGCCGACTTTGTAGAACTTCATCGTGAGCTCCGCCAGTCACACATCAACGGTCCCAACGTTTTTTTATCATTGCACGCCTAGGACGACAACGAGGCCACTCAAGCCAAGTCCGAACAAGTTCACTGAAATTTGATTACCTTGGAGATCTAAAGTTACCGCCTCATACTGTTTTCCACAGCTGAAGGGGTGGCTGTTTGCCACTCGAATGGTAAATCGCTGGGCTTCAAATCAGAACCACCACCTTCAAGTTGCGCAGCTGGGCTTCAAATTGCAGCGTCGTCGGCGATGTCACCCCTGCCAATGCGTGTAACAATAATTATGCTTTTGCAGTTAGGGCTCATTCGTCTGCGATTTCGTCGTTGTTAGGAATAGTATCGACGATTAGCTTAGGTGGAATCATTGTCGTTATCTCATCGCTTGAGTCGTCGTCGCCCATCGAGGGGCCTTCCGCATGGGGAACGACACCTCTGATTCTTCTTCTAGATCGTGTAGTGGAAATAGGCTGCTCTTGCCGGCAGAGGATAGAGTCAGTAACCAATGGTTACTGACCTGTCAGTATTAAATTCGGACTGTAGATTTAGGGATGACATTATTATATGGCTGGGCTGCACGCGGAGTGAGGAGGGCATTTTTGTCCAATTTTTGAAATTTGATTTCTTTCCTTTTTTTTATTTTTTCAGAATTTATATGTTTGTCTTTTAATGGGTTAAAAACACATTTGGTCACTGAGATTACAAAATCGGGACATGTTTAGTCACTAGAAAAAGTTAATATCAAATTTGGTCACTACAATTACTAAAACTGGACGCATTTAGTCACTCGACGTTAGTCTCCATCCAACTCCGTTAATGAAGTCCGTTAAGTGCTGATGTGGAAAACAAAATTGCCTAATCAGCCGGATATAACCCAACAAAAATAAAACCCGACCCACCACGTCATTATAACCCGCCACCTCATTAAAACCAACCCAACCCTACCCAACCCTTCTTCCTCCCACATCGGCACCTCCCACCTCCTTCTTTCCCCAAAACCACCGCCGCCGCTGCTCTCCTCCTTCCTCCCACCTCCTTCCACAAACCTATTCGACCTGCTGAAGGGTAATCGTCAAGATTCCTCCTGTTGAAGTCCGGCCGAACCCAATTTAGGGTTTTACCCATCCCATCCAAATTCGCTGGGCGGGGAGAAGATCTCTCCGCCATTCTGCCGCCCTTCCTTCATCTTCTTCCTCTGTCATTGCCAATTCCAAAAAAATCTTATTTCAACTCTTATTCTTCTTTTCTTTTCCATTGATTCAATGGCGGCTCCTCTAATTCCTCAATTGCTACTCCTCTTCATCCTGGGTACTGCTAATTTCTTCCTAATCGGGGTCGTTTCCACAACCATCACAATCACCAACCAGTGCGACTACACGGTCTGGCCGGGAATTCTCTCCAACGCCGACGTGGCGCCGCTGCCCACCACCAGATTCGCGCTCCAGAAGGGCGAGACCCGGACCATCTCCCCGCCGGCCTCCTGGGGCGGCCGCCTCTGGGGCCGGACCCACTGCTCCAAGGACTCCACGGGCAAATTCTCCTGCATCACCGGCGACTGCGGCTCCGGCCAGCTCGAGTGCTCCGGCGCCGGCGCCTCTCCCCCCGCCACGCTCGCCGAATTCAAGCTCGACGGCTACGGCGGCCAGGACTTCTTCGACGTCAGCCTCGTCGACGGCTACAACCTCCCCGTCCTCGTCTCGCCGTAGGGCGGGTCGGGCCATAACTGGTTTGCGGGAGGAGGTGGGAGGAAGGAGGAGAGCGGTGGCGGCGGTGGTTTTGGGGAAAGAAGGAGGTGGGAGGTGCCGAGGTGGGAGGAAGAAGGGTTGGGTCATGGGTTGGGTTGGGTTGGTTTTAATGAGGTGGCGGGTTATAATGACGTGGCGGGTCGGGTTTTATTTTTGTTGGGTTATATCCGGCTGATTAGGCAATTCTGTTTGCCACATCAGCACTTAACGGACTTCATTAACGGAGTTGGACGGAGACTAACGGCGAGTGACTAAATGCATCCAGTTTTAGTAATTGTAGTGACCAAATTTGATATTAACTTTTTCTAGTGACTAAACATGTCCCGATTTTGTAATCTCAGTGACCAAACGTGTCTTTAACCCGTCTTTTAATGGAGGAAAGAGGAAAGAGAAAAGCAGACTTCTCTCTTCCTCTCTCTTTTTTCTTTCTCTCTTCCAAACTCCTTTTTCGAGATCTAAATCTCCTTTCTTCCTTGTTCTTCATTTTTTTCTCCAACAATCGATGAAGAAATTGCAGCCTCCACCTCAAATTCGGTGACGCTCCAAATCCTTCTTCTCTCAAGCTGCTCCTTCCTTCTGTTTTTTCTTTTCTCAGCCTCAAAATCGATGATGCTCCATATTGTCAATGAGGGGACAGATCTAGGTGAGTTGAGTTTGCATCTTTTGTGTTTTAGTATTTGTTTGTGAATTAATTTCGATCTTCTTCCTCTTTTTCTTTCTTTTTGCATTTGGTGTTCTTGATTGCGGAGGAGTAAATGAGAGGAGACAGAAGACGAATTTTTTTTCCTCTCTTCCTCCTTCTGTTTCCCCTTCTTTAAGAATATATATTGATATTACCACACTATACCATATGGTAATGTGTGCTAACTAAATGTATTTTTATAGTCACGAGTTTTATAGTAATGGGTGGTAATCGACACCAGTTCCGAGAAAGAAGAGTTAGAAGACAATGAAGGGAGAGAATAAAGTGAAGAAAGTCGTAATTGTATATATATATTGAGATTACCACACTATACCATATGGTAATGTGTATATACCATATGGTAATGTGTCTATACCATATGGTAATGTGTGGTAACGAAATGTATTTTTATGAATATCATGTTTTTACTATGGTCGTAGAGAGTTGTAATTAGATTTACATGGTTTTACCTTCTCATACCATGTGGTATTATATGGTAATTATAATTAATTTGTGGTCCTTTGATTTACCATGTTCTACTATGGTGGTATTGTATGCTAGTTAGATTTATAATTTTCTGTAGCGTGGTTTACCAAGTTATACCATGTGGTGGTAGTTTGATTTGTAATTTTATTTTAGCATGTTATACCATATGGTATGGTAAGTAGATTTGTAAATTTCTGTAGCATGTTTTACCACGTTATTCCATGTGGTATTGTATGGTAGTTAGATTTTTAATTTTCTTCAACATATTTTACCATGTTTTACCACGTTTTACCATGTGGTATTGTATGGTAGTTAGAATTGTAATTTTCTTCAACATATTTTACCATGTTTTACCATATTTTACCATGATAGTAGAAAGTGATAATCATATTTATACTTGTAATTAGTGTCTTTAACAATGTATTATTTAACGAAAAAATCATCATTCAATTTGAGCTGGAATTAGTTTAGAGATAGTTATGATGATTATATTCATTTTTGTTGTAGATGGGAGAGAGAAGAAATAATATTTTTTTCTTTTAATAATATAATAAAACAAAGAGTGAGAGAGAGGGGGAACCATACAACCAGTGTGGGGTGGGGGAGTGAGATCCGCATCTGGTCAAAAAGTCACCGTCAGCCTCAGCGCGTCAGCGTCATCATGAAATAGGGGGTGCAATTTTACCTTAGTGCCCCTCCGTGTTTAATTTAAATAAAAAGAAAAAGCTGACACGTGGGGACAGATGATTGGTTACTGACAATTACTGATAGCAAAGATACTGACATGATCTGGTCCCGCTCTTGCCCTCTACCATTCGCAGGCAGCTCTTGCTGATTTGAAGCAGCTGCTCACGTAGCTTGAGGTATTCAAAACTCAATGACATGGCTCTGATACCAGTTGTTACGTAGATTTTCCTCCCGACTCGAAGACTAAAGCGAAACGTGAATAATTAAAGACTAGAAAACGTAAACTTGACAAAGAAATGAATCTAAATGCTTTTGGGTTCCAATCTGCATATCTCCTATTATTCTTATATTGTATATTTATAACCTTACAATCATACTTATAAAAGAAAGAAACAATCCAAATTACTAAATGAAAACCAAATTCAAAAGACAACCCTATTCCTACTCCTTAAGCTAAAACGTAAACGTCCCTAGCCAAGGAAATGTAGTTGTGCAAAATCAAGAACTGATGACGTAAAGATGCCAAACTTTAGAGGGATGTTCATACGGTATTGGACATTCCATACCAATTAAGCTTGTCCTGTAACACAACAAGCTATTTCCACTCAGCGAACTAGGAGGGCTCAACATAGTTGTCTAATAAGTAATAAGTGAGCATGACAGAATAAGAAATGCATTTGAATGACTGATACCATCGAGGATAAGACTTCAGAGAAAAAAAGTAGCATTGATTACCAGAAAAGGAGGTTCGGGATTTAACCTGTGCAGGAAAAATCCCACCAAAAGCAGCAGACTCTGAATTTCTTCCACACGAGGTCGCCTCATAAGCCATAAACACCATAGAGAAGCATAGCATCAAAATCAAGCAGGAAAAGTTTCTTCCGTCTCCTGTCGAGTTGAACCCTGGCCGCTGTGGATTACCATTTGATACCACTATCCACACAGAGGAGTGAGAATACAAGTAGTAACCCCTTCACCAGACAATTAGGGCTTTGCCGAGCTATTTTGATACATGGATGTATGAGCAATTCTTCGAGTTAGTCAACAATCTTGTTTCTTCCTTTGTACTCTATAGTCTATACCTTTTCCATTTACCTCAGTCGAGTCCGTCTAAAACAAAAGGAGAAAGTTCTATAAAACCAAAATACAACAAACAGAAGGGGAAGCTTATCAAAATAAAACCAAAGAAAGACAGATACTAGTGCCTTGCGTGTGCTTCGATGTGTACATAAATAGCGAATAAATCGAAAGGTAAGCAGTATGATGGTGGTGATTCGCTTGCTACGCCAACTTGATCACCTTTCAGATAGGTGGCGCACCTCTTCTGGAGGTCCGAACCATAACAAGTTATCAGCCACCATGTTCAATTCCCAGATAGAGCGAGAGAGGTTTACCTAAATCCTAGCCAGATCTTTATCGGCCTGCCTCAACACACGCTGTAACGGGGTCCTCAAATACGACCCAACAATTTCTTCTGCGGGAAGCCACCAACCATCCCTGTCTTCGGCCACACATCTCCTTGACAGCTTTTCCCTTGCAAACCCAGAAACTTGACTATATCTTGTGTAGACCAATTTGGAGATCAGAAGATATGGAGATCATGAGAGGCCGAGAGTAGTGAAACTCAGCTTTGAAGACACGTTTCTGATGAGCTCTTATGGATTGTGATGGCCGGTGACCGTTGTACCTGATATCAAAGATGTGGATCACAGGATCCACTGAGCCGGACGACAAGTACCAACCGTCAGAGGACCAGCCTTGATTGATCAGCGCTGACTGTGAATCACTGCTTTCTTGCTTAAACCCGAACGTGTGGATTTCCGTCTGTCTTAATCGGACATCAAACAGTCTCAGCTGCTTCTCAGGAGTCCTGTATACGAGAGATACGCAGAACACAATTGTCAGAGGGCAACCAGGACGAGACACTGAAACTAACAGCCTTCAAGCAAAGATGAACTGTACAAACTCAAGACTTTGCTTATTTGCTACTACAACACCAGCAAAGAGGGACGAGTAAAACAATACCGATAATCCCATACCAGGAGCACCAGGCACGAGAATAGTCGACCGATTTGGGTACACAACTCAGAGAAAAGAAGCAATAAGTCCATTCCTATGTTTATGGGTAAAACAATACCCATAATCCCACACCACAAGCACCAGGTGCTAGAATAGTCGACCGATTTGGGTACACAACTCAGAGAAAAGAAGCAATAAGACCATCCCATGTTTATAGAAAACACTTTCTAAATAAAAGGGAGAAGATTACTAGACTAATAAATGCAGCCAGACGCTAAAATATGAAGAATGTTATGGAGAATTGAGACATAACGGGGTGGGACAGAAGGAAGACCCATGCCCCACCCCACACTGTCAGGAAATTATCATCCCTACTTATAGGGTAATAAACCCGTCAAGAATCAAAACAGGAAAAAACAATAATAAAGATATGAGTTGCATTTTTACCCTGTTTGAACCATGTAGAGATTGAAGTCGCATGGATTAGGCAAAACGCTCATGCATTTGCTATCCACTTGATTCCTGAACTCCACTCTCCCTGCCTGGATATCAAAACCAATGATTCTCTTGTCGGCACCAGCAGAGAGCACAATCTGCTTTTGTTGCATGCCAGCAATTCCCATGACCGCAGAAGAATGCAAATCCCTATGCAGTTTCTTTGGCTTCCATGAGTTTTCAGCATCCCCATTCCAGACTACAACAGCATGATCACTACCACCGGTGACAAAACACGGATCTCCCCAAGGCATAAATGTTATCCCATTAACAATACCCTTGATATGAGGCTTGTCCTGTAGAAAAGTTACTCGGCTTTTCTACCAAAGCAAATTTGTGAAAGACAGATTAGACATATCATTTGGAAGAGTTGCAAGTGGTTTGGAAACATAGGGTCAAACAGATAGATGAACATGATTGACCCTCACACAAATTGATTTATGAACGTCGCATACCAGAGATCATTACCCCATGTGTCTTATTCAAATGAATTATTGCTATCTGAGAGTCCCCTTTATCAGCAGTGTAAGTCGCGACCAAGCTGTCACCCAATGGGTGCCAAGCTATATCTTCAGCCCACCGCCTAGTTTTTGGAGAAATGCACTCAGTTGAGCTTAGAAGAGAGGCACTTGACCTGGAATTGGAAGATGGAAGAAATCATTACAAGAAAAGCTTTGGGAAATTCACCAAATTGACACTTTAAAGACAAGAGAGGACTGCAAAGGTATCAGGTCTAGAGGCAAAGTAAGAAATGAACATAACAAGATAAAATGGTTGACTGACCCATTACCCTGCAGTTGCCATAAATTGACTAATCCATCCAAAGCACTGAAAAACATTCCAAACCCAAGAAAGATTAGTGTGATAAAAAGCAACGTTTACATATTTGAAACAGAAAAAAGAAAAGGATAGACTAACTATGAGGATGAAATGCATCCATGAGCTGATTACCTGGTAACGAACAGTTGATCATTCACTGGACACAGTGCAAGACTTCTTAACTTTCTCTTGTGCTGACTAGAGATGTGATTGTTGGCATGGCAATAAATGGAATGTGGTGAAGAGCTTCTGCATACCATTGGAATTAATTCCTTGTGGTCTCTCTGTTCTGGTGACATTAAATTATGCAGTAAGTCCCCAATGCAGGTAAAATAGTAGAAGATAAATTACACAAACTTCTCCACTAATCAGAGTCATACCGAGTTTCCTCTTCCTTCCTTTATCCTGATTTTCAACGACGTCAGAGTCAGAATGAATTCGGCCCGGCTTCTCTGCATTAACTTTCCTAACAATATCAGACTGGGTAGAAGAGCTTGTCTGAGCACTGGAACGAATGGAATCCCTCATGCCAGAACCTCCTGATTTTAAAGGCTGTGAAACCTTTGGATTCGCAGCAGGAATAACAAGTTCAGTTCTAGACTGAGTTTGATTCCTTGAAGAACTCCCATTAACAAGAAGGGAGCTAGTTGAGCTGTTCTCCGGCTTCACATTTTTACCATCATTCTCAAGAGAAATTTTGTGGGGTCTGGCATCTCTCCTAAGACGAGCCAATTGTGTTTTTGTCTTTTCCAATTTCTGTTCTGCTTCTCCAAGCTGCACAAATGAATAATCAGAAAGCTATTCCACCACCACAGTAGAACTCTCAGAGTCTCAGGCATATATTCAAAGCCTTACAAGTAGTACAATTTTGTTTCTTTCTTTATTCTCCAATGGTTCCTTCTTAACCATTATTTTTTACCAAAATTCTTACCCAAATTGAAGGTAAGGATTTATTTCCAATTGGAAATTTCCCCAACTACTCACATCACAGTAGCCACAAAAGCAGACATGAAACACAACCATTCAAGGTTTCCCGTTCCAGTAGATTGTTCCTAGTTTCCAGCATTTAAGTCAAAGAAAGAGTTAAAAAGGAATCAAAAACTACCCCAGAAAGGGTGAATGCACCGACGAACAGAGAATATAAACTGTGAAAAGCAAAAGCAAGCCCTAAGTAGATGCCTGATCAAAAGACAGAGAACATACGAAAATGGCATCGAAGAGGTTTATGATGGAGAAAATAACGCCATACCTGAGAGGTATAGTAGTATATACGCTTCCGCAGATGTTCAACTTCGTGGGTACGGTGTTCGATCAGAGCTACCAATGCCGATTCTTGCTCCTCAACCGTGGTTTCTTCGTCGCCTACCTCTCCTCCTCCTCCGCCTCTGCTTCCTTCTTCAGCTTGCTCGACTTTAGGCTTCTTCAAAATCGGAATAACCCCGCTCATTCTTCAATCTCTTTATGCAAGAATCGGCGGAGAATTTATTCCTAAAGTCTTACCGGCGACCACACTGCCGGAGACACGGAACGTTTGGGAACTACTATTTCTGAGGTAGGCCGGCACTTGAAGGGAAGGAAAACAAACGGAGTGGCAAAACCAATTGCAACTTGATTGTATAAAACCATCTCCAATTATAAGGAGATCTAGATTTGTCATTCTAATCTCATCTAAAATAGTTTTACTACAATAAGTAGTGCTAGTGAAAGTTTCAAAATTTTAAAATTTCATTTAGGTAGATTTCATCATTTTAATTAGATAAAATGTTTATTATTTTTATAAAAATAATAATAATTAATTCAAATGAACACTTTAATATATATATTTTTTAATTTGACGTAAATAAATTTTTTTAACTCCTCATCTTTAATCCTTATCGAATCCCACACCCTCTTCACTGAATATTTATGCATTTCCAAGCCATCCCATGCAAGATCATTCCCTGAGAGAAGTGTTGCTGCAATGTACTTCGGCATTTTAATAGCCTCTTCCAGATTTAGTACCCATAAGTTTTGATAGGCAAGGACCACACAGTATGATGTTTGATCCTATACTTGCAAACCTATGCTACCCATATCCCCCCTTCAGCCAGGATTTCCCATAAATGTATAGTAACACTGCCATATTTCAAATCTTAAAATTCTTCATCACAAGACCACCTTCCCTTTCCGACTTTGCCGACTTGTCCAGGTCATATTTGCTCGTGTTTTACCCCTGCATCATCAGTTTTTCACAAGAACACGCTACATAATCGTTCCACTTCTTTTATCACATACTTAGGTAGAAGAAAGAGATTCATACAATACTGAAGTGTACTATAGATCACTGTATTTTGCAGGTAAGAAGTCTTCTTACCAAACTCGTCCCACACTTAAAATTGGACAATGTCCTGATTGGACCAAATAAAGGAGTAAGGGAAGGTATAAAGAAGTCATCTCGAATGTTGATAAATTTGAGAAAGAAAACGAGTTAGTGGCTACCTTCGATTCTTTAGAACAAAATAAAGAAACTAGATAAAATTATCAGTTAAGCCATTTTAAGCAAAACTTGACATTACATTTATTCATTTGTACGTCCTGATTACTCTAAATTCTACTTGGTACTCTAGGGGAATCCTTAATTAGTATAGAATTGAAATCTGGGGAGTCCTCTGAAGTATGGAAAACGGTGGCTTTGCCACCAAAAACACGGTCTTTTAGGAGCCCTGGCCTCCATTTTTGCTCAACTGGGGGACATCTTCCTGATAAGATGCTCAACCTCTGCATGGCCTTCATCGAAGAAAATTTCGTCATGATATGATTTTGGACGATTAACCTCGTAGATTTGAAGGTTGGCGAGGTATGAGTTTGTAGGTAACGTCGAGTATGTCTTAAAGTACAAACGATAAAGGAATTGAAATTTGTGCTACCGCCCGATAGCACTTCCTATTTTTCGTCATGAAGTGGGACGATAGACATGGCTTGCCTCCCCAGCTAAGTGTTTCTTTGAACCCCATCGAAGGTGAGAAGCACGAATGTAGGCCGTTCATCTCTCTTGCACAATGGATCCTTTGAGAGGGCTTGAGAGAGATTAAGTTCATCTCATTTTTCCATTTCATCCTTTGGATTATCATTAGAGGCAATTTCCCTTAGATTCGTTACTGGGTACTTCCTTGAAAATGACATAGCACGCTGCTTCCTCTATCCTAAATCATAAGCCATCAGGAGGCTTCATTAAGCTATTGGGTAGAGGTGTAGGAGGTCTGTAGGGTTCATCTCGAATGCTAGAGATGCATAATCAGATTGAAGGTGCACGGAAGAAAAACTATATGTTGTGAAAGGTAATAGGACTTTTGTAATCTTACTAGCACAATCCTGGCCTCAATTCCCAACCCAGTAGCTCTAAGTGGACATTGAGCCTTGTTATGAACATCTTTACATGTATTGTTTTAAGGTTGGAGAATCTCCATAATGTAAATTCTTATCAACGGGAACCCTAGGGGGAGGTAGGTCCATCCCTAAGAGAGATCTGGTGACTCGTAGATTCGATATTTAATATTTTTTGCCACTATATTATGATCCCGCCATTGTTTCACTTTGCACTTTCAGGAGGGCTAATTTGTAGCGATAACTTACAATACTCACGAGTACGAAGAACATACTCGCATTGTTCAGTCAAAGCATAGTATCATCTAGCCAACTTTGTTGTCGATTACCTCCATCACACACTCATTATCCTTGGAAGATCATTTTTCATTCACCTTGTAAATCCCACGTGTATCGAATGCACTTTGATCGTTGTGATATTGAAACTCTCATATTTGTTAATGAATAACGGTTGTGGTGGCGTTTTAACATTTTGATTTCTACAGAAAAAGAAGTCGCCTAGTTAAGCTAGTGCTATGAGGTTAGCCTCTAAATATCTTATATCTCATTTTGAGTACTAACCCGAGAGAGAACATCAAAAGCTCCGACTCCATAAATAAAAAGAACACTTCTAAGCATATAACAAATGGATACATACTTTTGAGTTTTGACTGATGAATATGTTCTTTTCATATTTTGTTAAGAGAGCAACTTCGTAATCAACTATGTGGTTAATAAGGTTTATGAGTCTTTGACTTTGATAGACATCTATTATCTTACGTATGTATAACGTTGATATCTCCAAAAAGGGACAATCCATCTCCCAAAAGAACATCGGTGTATTCATATAACTTTAATTAATACAATCGAGTTAAAGCACAATCGATCATTTCTCTCTCAGATTGGACTTCAAAAATGAGAATCTAGATTAATAAAACACCCACAATTTTATATTAGTAACATCATGCTATATATACGGTTAATAATGATGATGGCACTTCAAAAATACATTCTACAATGAGGGAGGGAAATGTCATATGACCCACTGTTCCTCTCTCTCTTCCCTTTCCTTCCCTCCCTCTTTCTTTCCACAGACCTCCCACACCCAATAAGCAAAAAAACAAGAACCACAAGAAAACAGGGAAAAGAAACAAAGATACATTTAACTTACATCAGAAAGAAAGAAGGTACCGAACAAACAACAAAACTAAAAGCAGGAGTTGACAGAGGGGAAAAAACTAACGAAGAACCTTCTTCTTGAGTCATGCAGGCATGCCTCTGCATCAAGGAACTTCTGTCCATAAAGACAACGACGATGACGATAATCACACTTTGTCTTTGCCGACAACTCCAAAATTTTGAGTCTTTTTCATGGAGGTTAAAAGCCCTGTTGCTCTCTCTTCTATATCTTTGCGGGGGCTCAAAAGGCATATTACATAAAGATACTCAAAAGGTAGGTTACAGGATGAAGCCCCAGGAAGAAACAACAAAAAGAGGAGGGGGGGAAAAAGAGGGACCTCCACAGAACTTCGATGGAACGGGAAAATACCGGCCGTCACTGTTGAAGCCAAAAATAGTTGTCAGGGGGGGGCAACCACCTCTAGTGTACAGAATTGAGATGGGACCTTGTTCATGCAACTGCTGCTTTCCATTAAAGAGTTAGAGGAGTTGCCATGAGAGCCAGGCCAAAAACTCAGTCAGAATTGGAGGATGTGTCCGTTCCATTCGAAGCATCCTCTCCATTTGCTGCTGAAGGGCTCCCATGGCGGTGGTGGTGGTGGTGGTGGTTCTCATCATGCCCGCTGGTTCTTGGCCTCCCCATCCTCGACCTAATGTTAGTACCCATGGGGAAAGGCTCCTGCATGGAATTAAGGGCGCACCCTTGGTTTAAGAGTTTCATACCAAGTGATGTTACTGGAAATGCTAACTTAACGCACAGGAAAATAGATCACATACAGGGTCACCAGCATTTGGGCCATCAGTGTGGAACAGTATCGGGCGACAGCGTTTATCCTCATTCATCAAGCTCGAGTTCTGGAAATGGGCGATCAGAGCAGCCTTTCCTTGGATACGAGCATATGCCAGAGATGCCACCTTTTCACTGTTGAACTTCTCCCACTTCTTCCCATTGAATGCCTACAGAAACAAAAGACACATTCGCATTATTTACTCTGCTAGATTTCTGTTAATCATTGCTTAATACATCCAACAAAATAACAAATTCACTAAACTCTTCACACCTTGTGGAACGGAGTGATCTGAAGAGGATCAGTCATATTGATGAACGCATAACCAACGTTGCACTTATTCTGTTCAAGAAAGGCATGCACATTTTTTGAATGGGATTAGTTTGATAGCGGAAAGAACACAGAAGTGCACGTAACTGCATATTTGTCCCATTGAGGGCCTGCAATACAGAATGTGTTTTGCCATCACCAAGGACAGTGGAAATCAGTTACTTGCCTTGAAGTCAATTGGCAGATAGAGAAAATCATAAGAACCGCGGCAGTGCTCGTCAATTGCAGCAAGAAGCATCTTTGAAGTATACCTGAGAAGTAACCACAACTAATTATTAGGCTAGTATCAATGATTAGTGGAAAATGTGTAACCTAAGATGGCATATCATAAATCAGCTAGATACCAAACATAGACACCCATAGTTGCTCAATGAATAAATTTTCAGCAACAAAGTGTTCTAGCAAGGCTAGAAGGATAGGACACATACTTGTTTGGAATGTTTTTAATCATCAATGTGGTTCGTTTATCTTCACCGCGCATGATGCGCTCCACATCAAGTTCATATTGCTTCTTATCCGACTGATTGGAGTTGGATTCCATTCGACGGTGCGACAGATTCCTGACACGGTCATTATTTGAAGAATCAAAAGATGAGGGCATGGAAACCATTGGATTTCTCCCAGGGAACAGATGGCACATTTGCTGCTGGGGTGATGAGCGAATGCCAGCAGTTTTGGTTATGTCAACACAATTCCCATTAACATGAGAGTACATATTGCGTGAAGCCGCCATTTCCATAGGGTGTGGTGGAGAGCTACTCGGGAATCCCATGCTGCTACCAAGTGACCCCATATGGAAACTGGAAGTGTCGGGAGACTCCCCTGAGTAAGCATGCTGACGTTCCCACAAGGAAGGGTTAACAGCTGGAGCAGACCCGACATGGTGGGATCCAGGCCCTCCTGTGTTTAGCATGACTGGAGGTGCCCTAGGATACCCAGGCAGATGAGACAGTGGGTGAGCAGGAGCACCATTGACAAAGGATGCAGAATTGGGCCACATCACATGATTTGACGGCTGTTGATGATGGACCGAGGTAGAATTATTCCACACATAGTGTCCGGGAAGAGTGCTTCCGTTTCCAGGAGATCCAAAGCCCAAGGAACCTAGTCAATTGGTCAAATTGTATTAAGTCACAAAGGGAATCCCACTGTTCGAGCTGTTTAACTCAAACCAGAACTTTACTGTTCAAAACTCAATAATGTCATCCATTGAAAGAAGGCAATCAGACAATGTTCGTATCCTTTTGCGACCAAGAAGCACGACCAACAAGCTCATAGAGTGGAATGCTATAGAAGTTAACTATTGCCTCTGAAATGGGGCATCTACACCACAATGCTATATTAAACAAAGCAACTTCAAATTATTATGCTGTGAAAGCATGCAGGAAATGATGATGAGAAACACTTGCATAAGCCGACTCATGAATCTCAGCATATAATTTCAAAAACATCTGACAGTATATAATGTCATAGAGAGCCTTAAGAGAATGTCAGTTTCATTTCGTCAAGAAGCAATAAACATGATCAATAGATTCCTATGCAGAAGAAACTCAATTTATAAGGTATAGCTAGCAGTCCAGTATCAAGATGAACCAATTACATGGCACTGGATCACTAAGCACGTTTCCCTTAAGGCCTATTCTATGGTCCTGCAATAGCCCAGTAATGTCGATCCGACTGGGCTGTAATTTCAACCATATCTTTCTTCAGCCACTCATCAGCTGCAAGTTATGGCGATTAATAGACTGATAAATCAGGCATAAAGATCTTGAGTACTCCCAGTGCTAAATTTCCCAAAATAGTACTGTGCCTTGATAACTCACAAAGTTGCAGAAATAATACCAAATGCAGCATAAAAAAGGCAAAGAGAGAACGTACCACGTCCAGCAAGTTCCATCATGCGCATATTAGAACCTACCCCTCGAACATGTCTACCATTGATTCCCTCCATCAGTTTCGAACCAACACTGCCAGCCATGCCTCCTAGGGCGTTTGTGGAGTTGTATGGAATTCCATTGGACAAACCATCATGATATTCTGGAAGGGAATGAGGATGGAAAGTGGGCATGCTCTGGTTACCAAACCTAATCTCCTGAATGGAATGTTTCTGTTCAGGATGACTAAACTGCTTGCCCACTGATGTTGCTGTCGCTGGAGAATGTAAAGGATTCGGAACACTAGAACTTCGATGAGGCTCAATAAATGCCCCCACAGGGGAATGTGCACCATGCAGAACATGGGATGAACCACTATCCATGCCAGTGGATGCAATAACTCCAGGGGAAAATGCTGCTTGCAAGAGAAATTAATCATGAATAAGCAGACTGATGAAACTAGGTAGTTGTTATTCAGCTAGCCAAAATTACAGGAAATAATCCTACCCATTCTCATAGATGACAAGTCATCTAATTGACTACCAAAATTTGATTCATCCTGATCCTGGTCTGGCCTTTGCACCGACCTGTAAAAGGAAATTTTGAAACATCAAACGGAAAGGCCAATAGAACTGGATGTACAAAAGACAGCTTCTGATGTACTAGCGATTTCCGAAAATAGTTAATGGTACTTCATCCTAATTTAGCATGCTATATCTAAACAAACATTGGTCAGATAACAATCCGTTCTTTTCTTTCTTCTAGGATTGTTACACAACATTGATTCTGAGACAAACAATTAAACGACACCACAAACTGCAAGTTAAAATCACCTTCTCGCAGCAACCATTCGGCTAGGTTCAAGCTTAATCCGCTTGCCGGCAATGTCGGTTCTATTCAATGCATTAAGGGCTGCTTCTGCTGCTCTGACATCATAGTACTCTATGAGTACATGATTCTGCTTATTTGGGGTGTCACGAATCTGAAAACCCACAGATAACAAGTGTGAACTGGGAAAACATTACGCAATTAATTCTAACTAGGAAAAAATACAATACCTCTTTGATTTCTCCATAAGCAGCAAATATCTGATGAAGCTCATCCGTAGAAACAGCAGAATCAAGGTTGAGGACCGTTAGGGTGCCTTGGTTGACATCTTTCTCTGAAGGATTCTCCTGTTACATTGACAGCAAAAAAATCAGCTTACACAAAGCTCTAAATGAACAAAGCAACTGCTTCCCACAAGGGCACATAACATACTGTAAGGTGAAGACAACATCCAGTTACCTTGGGAATTGAAAAGTGAATATCAAGCTTCCTGCGTCTCAGAGGCTTGTCCTGAAGTGATTGCATTGCCCTTTGAGCAGCCCTTATATCATAATAGGAGATCATGACAAAACCGCGATGTTTGCAAGCTGTATACAGGGTTCGGATCTCCCCGTATTGCTGGAAGAAGGATGAGAAACGTCAAGACACTAATCAGATAAGAGATAACCAATTATTCTGATGCAACATAAATCACTGACAAACGACTAGTACACACCTCAAAAAGAGTTTTCAGCTCAGAATCTTCCACATTACTGTTGATATTTCTCACAAACAGTGTTCTGGAAGGCAGTTCGCCAAAGGGGTGTTTACCAGTGATAGAACCACTGGAAAATCCAAACAGATCAAGATTTCTTCGCCCTGCAAGCATTTGCTCATCCCCTTCTAATTCCAATCCTCCGCCACTGCTAAAAAGATCAAAATCCTCTAAATCATCTCCAGCAGCGGTATTAACAGTACGGCCCAACTCATTAGTGACCCCAGAAAATAGATCATCTTCAGCAGGAAGAAGATTCCCTATAGTCTGGGCCTCAATTTCTTCAATAGATTCAAAGGGCTCTTCCTCCTCGAGAGCAGAAATAGTGGTTTTTGCAGGTTCATGGGATTGAACATCATTCCCCATCAATCTCACTGCAGAGCATCCATGGAACATTTAGTCAGCGCAAGTTCAACGGATGTCGATTCATATTCTAAAATATAAGAGGTAATGAAAGTTTTAATATGTTGTCTTGCTAAGGTTCATGAAATTACATTGGACCGCTAGTTAAGACAGCACAACTTCTGATGAGGACACCTATCAGGAAAATGGTTTTAATGTTTTTTCTACATAATCCACATGCAAAGCCATGATAACCATTGGTTCCCATCACAGGAAACCCACAACATTGAGCATCCACCTAAATAAACGATTTGAAGATATGATGAAATGAAACTTACTTTTTCTATTGAATACTTCAGAAAACGAGCTTGAGAATAGACTGCTTTCCCACTCCGTTCCAGTGATACTGGCCCCATTTCTGCCCAAACTATGAGCTGCAGGCTGAGCAGACAAACTTGACCATGAGTTTGGCTGGTGATCCACCGAGTTCCATGCACTCTTGGGAACATTGGCACTTCCTTCACCATTGCGCAGCTTTTCATAGCTACCCCTTGTCATGATTGACCGGGGCACCTCCAGTGACAGTGCACTGGATGGAGAAAGGGTTTCAAAGGGCGATGAAGCAACAAACTTGTTGCTAGGCATTGGTACAGTTCCATTTGCACCTACGGAAGGAAGAAATCCACAACAGAATCAGAGAGTGAAAGATTAATCCATGCAGACAAAAACATCAAATGCAATACTGTTTCTCTCAAAAAGGCCATCCAAGGCCCCTATTTAGGAACCAAGTGCATTGTTGACTAAATTTGATAGATACGAATGATCCTCACCTTGATGATCTATCATTGCATATGGCTTCCAAAACCCAACTTGTCTCTACACAGCAGAAACCACCAAGAATTCAGCAAGACAACAATACAAGAAGTTACAACATGCCTCCAGAGTGAGTGAATGTTGAATTTGAAGCAAGAGAAAGACACAGATCAGACAGAAATTCTAAAAACATGGGGGGAAGGTGCAATTGACACGTGCACCAAACCCCAAGACATCACTTGATAGACTAATAGCAGGTGGCAGAAGCAGAATACCTCGGCGGGAAGACGAATATCTTCAAAGAAATGCGAGGAAGCAGTACCGCCCCTTTGATCCATGATCTCAAACGGTGCAGCTTTTCTCTATAAGTAATATACAGGATATCAGAAGCTCTTCAAAACTGCAACACAACAAAATCATTCGGGATTAATAGTTTGTCCAGTAGGTTCATTCCCCTTTATTCCTCAAAGGAGTCAGCAATGAAATGATCAAACACCCATCACCCACACAACTCAAACAAACACGATGACAGAAAGGAGGGAAGGAGGGTATCCACTTCAGCGAAAAAATTAATCATAATAATAATACAGTAAACAGATCAAGACATAACTTCAAGAAATGGGTAACGTACAGCAGTTACTAAATTGCAGCGCACGGAAAAACCAACGAATAATTCCATGGAAAACTCTGCAATCTTTTGAGGGTCAGGGAAGCAAACCCAGAGGACTTTCATTTTTTTTTCCCCCTATAACTTGAGAAACACTTTCCACAGTTCTGTTCTTTGGGGTTTTCCACAATTTCATCCTGATGGATTCATGAAAACTAAAGCCACAAGGGGTTTGTTTTTCTTTACCTAACGACAACCAAACAGTAAAGCACCGTTTGGGGGACGCCAAGAAAAATTGTTTTTCTGAAAATCGGACAGGGAAACCGGAACCCCAACGTTTTGAAATAATTGAAGGGAACAAACAAAAAAAAAAAAACAGAAACATCAAACCAGGCAGGGGCAGAGGGCGGAACTCTTCTCTTTAGTGGCCCAATTGATTTAGCTGAATTTTCAGTTTGCAAAAATTAAGAGATGCCAGGCAAAGCAACGCCATGAGGAACGGGATGGGCAAAAGAAAAAGCAGAGCGCTTCAGCTTTAAATTCAGTTCACCCTTTTATCTCTCCTTTTCTTTTTTATTCCAAATACGCGATTTTCCAAAACCCAAAGCTGAAGCTTCAAGAATCTGAAACACCCAGAAACCGCAAAATTCACCGGATTTAAAATCTGCCAGCAGCGGGGGGGCTACCAGATCATGGAAGTACATTCAGTCAAACCTGATCTCAAACCCAAACCCAGAAGTAGATTCAAAAAAAAACCTCCAACCCAAAAAGCCAAAATTCGAACGCCCCCGACAAGTAAGCCGCTAGGCTAGAAGAAAGAACGCACCTTCTTCTTCTTCAGCTGAGAATTACCACGATAGCAGCATCTTCAAATACCGGGCACCAAGGTTCAGGCAAAAATAGAGCAGCAGCTAATTGGGGAAAGCAGGTAGCCGAACAAGAGGAGAGAGAGAGAGAGATGGGAGGAGGGATGAGAAAGGGAACAGCAAACTTTTAAAGCAACAATGAGGGGGAAGAAAGACGCATCAAGGGATCCTCTTTTCCCCCTGCATTGCAAGCTAGCTAGCTGGTCGCCTCTCGAAAAATAAATAAAAACTTGCTGGCCGGAGGTGAGAGAGAAAGAGAAAGGAAGACAGCAAGAAGAAAGAAGAAAGAGAGGCAAAAACAGAATAATTTGGTTTCTTTTTTTATTTTTCTTTCTTTGTATCTTCTTTTTCTGCAATTTTCTCCTCCTTTTTGTTGCTTTGTCAATATAAATCGCAACCAGCAGAATAAAAGACCTCTCCCCTTAAATTTCACAAAAACCAAGAAGAAGGAGAAGAAGAGATGGAAGGTAGAAAAGCGAATTTCCGGCGAGATTCCCCTCGCCGGCAACTCGCTCGGGGATTTAGAGGCAGAAACAACGAAGGAGATGAGAGCTGTGAAAGAGAGAGAAGGGAATAATAAGAAGGTAGAGAAGGAGGAAAAGGGGAAGAGAGAGAGAGGTGTTAAATGTTGGGTGCCGTGTTAGTTGGATTGTGGAGAAGAGGGGAGAGGAGAGGAGGAAGAAGAAGAAGATGACAAAAAATAATAAAAAATTAGGCGGGGGGTGGGGGTGGGAGGGGAAGGTTGTGTTTGCGTGTGATGCGTGCGGATAAGCTGCGCTCCGCATCTCAGCCTTCCGATTCAGATTTAATGGCTGATCATCCGCATGACAGAATGGGTGGATTGATTTCGTGTTCCCGTCACCTAAAGCTTTGAATATTTTTTTTTTTACAATTATTATTCAAAAAAATTACTGTTAATTCATTAATTAATCGCAAAACTTAGCAGCTGCGTTGGTTTTGGTTTGCTTCCTAATTCGGCTTTGTTAGTTCGACTGACCTAAATTTCAGGTTACGAAAACGTCGTGGTTTTGGATTGTATGACCTGTATGCCGCCGCTGGTTAATTTAAGAGGATACGTCGAGGGAGTTTTCTAATAACCCAATGATAAAAACTTGGAAGCCTCTTGTTTGTTTTTTTGGCAAAAATAATTCTCTTGTTTTAAGGGAATAAAGTACAATTAGGAAAGAAAATAAGTATTTTGACCCTATGGTCACAAACCAACCTTGGAAACAAAGTAATTCCCGCTCCCTGATTTAGTAAGAATATCCATTAAATGAAGATGGGAAAAAAGCTGCAAACTTTGTTATGTAAGGTTGACAAGGAAAATATTGTCAAGCTAGCAACAAACTGTTAGTTTACCCGTATTTTTGCAACGTGTCAGTCTTCGAATTTACGGGGGAAAGTACACGTAGCCAGTGTGTTTTTGCATGTGTAAGTTTTCATATCTTCAAAATTGCGCATATCTAGCCAAACAATAAGTTCTTAAGTTCATATTATTTACTGTTGGGCCGTTCGGTTGTGGGAATCTGAAAACGTGGGAATTTCCCGCAATTTCTACATTTGACAAAACCAAAGAATTGACATGGGAGAATTAAACAAAACTCAACATTTGGGAAGAGTTTGTTTTTACCGGAATTCCTAGTGTGAAATTTTAGGGAGATACCAACACGCCCATTTTTTGTAATCATATTAGTGCTCATCTCAATGACCAAGTAGCTACTAATTCCTTCTGTTTTTGCTAACGAGTAACTACTGTTGCTAGCTTTTGTTGCTACTTGCTACTACTAACCCTTGATACTACTAATTGCTAACTGATGCTACTAACTGATGATGCTAACTTCTATCGTTCCTACTAACTCTTGATCAGGGATGGCAACTGTGCCCGACCTGGCCCGTGATGGGAGAGTATTATCCCACCCTCAACAACATGGGGTTGTGTATGGATACTCATTTTGCGTTGTTCCGTCCCATTCTTGACTCTTTGTACCTTGACTTGTGTCAGGGTCATTTGGATGGAACATTTTCAAAATGAGGTAATTTGGAACAAATGTCTCATTTTAGAATATGAGCCAATTATATAAGAAATTTGTATAGAATTGTCTTATTTGACTTGTTATTTTGACATGAGACAATTCAGATGGAGCATTTTCGGAAAAGACATATTTGCTCTCATTCGTTTACCATTTTCCATCTTCCTCTCCTACTCTTCGTGATGACGATGACAACATCATAATTAATAATCAACAATGGAGAAATCCTTATAAAAAATTTGTTTCCCAAAATCCATTTTGCTTGAGTCATTATATTCAGCAAGCCAAAATTCTAATTAGAATGCTAACAAATAGCAGTCAAATAATTAGAGATTCAGAGGAAGAAACAAAGCTAGTTGAGTTGGAATCTAGTAATCGAATTGGGATCGAAACGATCCCTTGAGACATGGCTATCACGGCGCACCCGACATGTCTTCTGCAAATTCCCCGTCCATGTTTTCCTCGAAAAGGAGGAAGAAGTCAAGGTAATAATAATAATAATAATAATAATAATAATAATAATAATAATAATAATAATAATAATAATAATAAGAAGAAGAAGCCTCACTGTTGTTATGCATAAGCCTTCAATGGCGATTTCTTCTTCTCCTTGTCCTAGCACCCCACATGTAACGAACCAAACCCCCCAAACTGAGCAACCACTCCAAAGAACGCATGATTCAAAGACAAAAAATCTCAATCAAACAATCAGATTTCCACTGAATCAAACTAATAGAACCCTCTCTTAAAGCAGAGGATCCAAAATCTTAACTGAAACGCTTAACTGAAAAACAAAAACACGAGACCCAGGTTGAGCTATAACTTGCTCACAAGCAGAACTCCTTCCTCTTCCTCAACGAGCCCAGGTCGAACAATAAACCTCTCTTTCCTTGTCACAAGACTAAAGATGGCCAACAAAGAGTAGTTTTGTTAGTGGCGAGTTAGCCTCGAGGCTTGGACGATCAGTTGCCCTAGTTTAGGTGATTTTCTGCGGGTCAGGTTACCCTCGGATTTATTGTCGCGTTCTTCCCTTCGTTCGCCATCGAAGAGTAGATTGATAAATCTGCTAGAGAGAAGAAATAAGAAAGAGGAAAAGGGAAGAAGATAGTAGACGAGAAAGAAAAGAAGAGGAAATGAAGGTGAGTCTCAACAAAGAGAGAAAGTAATAAAAAAAGGTTATAATTGGAAAGGGTCCACCAAAAATGAGTCAATTGACATTTCCTCCCTCCTCCCCATCTAGGTATTTGACATTCACCCCATAATGAAGCAATTATAATTGTGATTCTGGTCTAATTGCACATGTTTTCACCCCGTAATCTTGTGGTGTTTGGGGCATTTACATTGCTATACGTTCGATTTTAAGCTAGGTTTGTGCGTGTTTCCAATATGTTTCATGTTCTAGCAGGTGAATTGGCCTTGCATGAGAAATTAAATGAAAGAGGGTGAAAGAGGATCGAAAAGGGAAAAAAGGCGGAGATCATGATTGGACCAACCTTATCACGATCAACCGACCGTGAAGAGAACCAGCATCCACAAAGTTTAGTACACCTCACGTGCCTAAAAGTTATCATGGTCACCAGAACGTGATAATACCATCCAGTTCGTGAAGGCCTTAAATGAAACCGTGCGTTTTTGCTCGAGATCACGCGCCATGATGAGCGTGAGACAAGAGTATAAAAGGAGAAGAGAGCTAAAACTTAAAAGGGGGATCTAGGGAAAGACTGTCTTCTTCTTCTTCTTCTTCTTCTTATGATTTTAGAGAGAGAAACTAACGAATAAAGAGAGAAGAAGAGGTCTAGGGTTTGGTCCTAGCTAGATGATTGAATATTTTCATCTCCCAAGGGTGATTGCAACCACAAGGAAGGAAGTTAAACACCACACCATGGTTCTTTTCCTCCTCTTTGTTGTAATCCACAACCTAGCTATGAAGTAGTTCTCTTTTTCACTTGGGCATTGTGAACCCTTGCCTAGAAATGTGATAGGTTATTGGATTTGAACTATATGTGTGTTGATTGTGTGTTTTAATATAATGCTTGAAATATTTTCATGATTTTTGAGTGTTGGGTTCCATATCTCATTTGGGTCAAATTGACCTAGAAGGAAGAAATCCCCTCCTTGCCCACTGATGCTCTAAAACACAACACCTAACAATGGCCAAGTGTAACCAATGAAAGGGACTGCAGTATAGTGGCACAAGTAATAAATATCGAATCCACGGGTCTCTAGAGTTACTATTACTCAGCTTCAGTTCATTATCTAGCAAACTAGATTAAGGATTGATTAACTAAACTACTCTACTAACTAACTAAGTAAAACTACTAATTACAGTTTGGGAACTCACTTAGGTATGATTCCCCCTAGCTCCTCAATTAGGTCCAAGTTGTAATTCCTTTTGGTTGATTTACTGTTGATTAAACTGCGGAAGATCCGACAGTAGTTTGGAATCTCTTAAGCTGACCAAACCCTCTCAGTCTAACTATCCGGCAGACGACTAGTCTTCACCGGGATAGAAAGCTGAAGCAATAAGCACAGAACTCCACTACTGGAATTGGATTCCAGTACAAAGCAGTAAACTGGCTAACTCTCGTATAGCCAATCTCCTACTATCGAATGATGAGACTCTAGCAACCTAATCAGATTCTATCTATCGCAGATTGCAGCAGGAATCAGGAAAAGTTGATCAGACTTCAATTGACTCAATAAACATGCATCATTCAATTATAATCAAACAATATAGCATCCAAAACTTCATACAAGAAAGATCCTAACTCATGGAACTAAGGTTCCTCAAAACCTAAGTGAAGGGAAGTTACTCCATAGAGAAGAGAGAGACTGCAGAAATCTGATCTAGATCTTCAATCTCCATCTCCAAGCTTGATTCCCGAGCTCCAATGGCGAAGAAATCCTCCAAAATAGCTCCAAGAATGTTCCCAAGTCGCTCTCTCTCTCTAGGGTTCGTCCCTTGGGTGTTTGGGATCCAAAACCCAGCTCTCCTCTTCTTTGGTTCGGAATTTGGCTTAAAACCAGGAAATCCCGACTCGCACGGCCGTGCATATCACCATTCTGGCCGTGCAACTCAAAACACAGCGTGTCATTAGTCGAACTTCAGCCCTCTCGCACGGCCAGGGTGCACGGCCGTGCGAGCTTCAGGGGTTGCCCGTGCGTGTCCTCGGCATAAGGCGCACGGCCATATTGCTCACGTGCACGGCCGTGCAGCCTCCCTGGTCTGCCCGTGCAGCTCCCCAAAAACCTCGCCATTCGTCCGTTCTTCGTCCAATCGACCCCAGACTCGCTCCTAAGCCTTCATTCACGTACTAGGACCTGAAACATCACAAACAAGCACAACCTAGCGTGAAATCGGCCTAAAACACGAGAATCAACACCTCAAACGGTGTAAGAATGGGGGTAAAAACATGTGTAAATGACGGTCTATCAAACTCCCCCACACTTAACCGTTTGCTTGTCCCCAAGCAAACCTAACTCAAACCAATGCAACTCTCCAGACCTCTATAGCAACAAACAACCCAGATCGTAGGTAGAGGACTTCCTAGATCATTTAGCAGCTTACGAGGTCAACCGACGCACAAGTCATCTCATAACTTCTTCGGCGAGTCGGCATCATGGCAAATAGTGAACAGAGGACAAATGAATTGTGGATGAAGAGACTCTCAAAAACAAAGGATCATGGACTCACATTTTTCAAGGTGCTCTATTTTCTTCTTGAAGATGGTTGAGACCCCTTTTTTTTTCTGTTTTGCTTGTTTTCTGATATTTTTCTTTTCTTTTCTTTTTCAAGGGTCCCAACCTGCTCTTACCGGCCATGCCAGGAGCGGATGTCTCGAGCCTCGTGCGGGGGAAATACATGTAAGGGGGCTGGAGGTAGTAGGTGGAAATTGGGAACGAATTCCCGTCTCCCCTTACACACTTTCGCCCTATTCGCACGGGAGACGTTTATTTTGAAGCACATTTTCGAGCACCTGTTATTTTCAAAACATGATACAAGAGTCCATGACAGGTAGAAAATCCACAACACCACACAATTCAAGGGTCCTAAGATCACTAATTCACTCAATCAACCAACTTTATATGAAGAAGAAATGAGACTTCTTAAATGCATCAACATCCTCCATAGTGCTACACTACCTCCCTAGGTTGCATATTACTGTAAAGACTGTCAATTCAAAGCATACTGAGCAGGCACTTGCAAGGAAACACGTACTTGGAGCCCTCAAATTTAAAAATTTGGACAGTGGACTAGGCTCCAAGCACACAAACAGCCAAACATTCACCCGCATAAATAATCGAACATCCCCCCACACTTAAGCACGACATTGTCCTCAATGGAGGAAAGATAAGGAGGGTAGAACGAAGTTACCAGATCAAGGGTGAATGATGATGAATGGGTCAGGCGGTGCATTCCAGAAAGAGAGAGGAATCAGAACACAAACACCACACAAAATCTCACAAAGGTTGAGTTATTTACTCTAAAATCAAATAACAAAACTGACTCAACCGAGGAGAAATAGAGAAAGAAATGCAAACCGACTGGTTGGGTTGCCTCCCAACAAGCGCTTCTTTCACGTCGTGAGCCGGACGATGGCTCCTAAGTTTCGGTCCATGCTAGAACCTCCTTGAAGTTGAGGTTCTCGTCGATGAGGTGGAGTCTCAAGTCACGAGCATCTGGTGTGGCAGGTGATGAAGGCTCATGTACTTGATGCAGATGAAGTCTCCACCCTCGAGACCTCTTCTTCTCTTCTCTCGTCTCATTGCCCCAAACCAGATATGACAGCATCGACCGACCACCATCACGTCCACCAAGAGGGACCGATGTCGATGTGGCCTTGGTCTGGCAAAGAGACACTGCAAATGGGTCCTTGCTAAGTAGTTCCTCGAAGTTTGGTGGAGATATCAAATGTAACTCATGGCCGGTGCATGCCTCTTCCACCTCAACTTCATCCTCAGCCTGGACGCCAATTGCTTCCTCAACCCCCCTTCCTTCTTCAAAATGTGGTCTCTCCCCTGGGAAAAGATCAAGAACCACCTCTTCTTTTCTTTCTTCCTCATCATCCACAACTTTCTTCCTCATCCTTGCTCGCTCTTCTTCTTCTAGAACAGATTGGAGAGCAAGTCGCCAAGCAATTTCTTCAATGGGATCATCTTGCATCTCCTCGCACGGGCCCAACATGTTAGAGCATAAATGAGGAAAGGTGTGGTCTGCAACCAAAGGACTTTCCTGATCATGGTTATCATGGGAGTTCTCTGTGATAACTTCTGTATGCTCCTCAACGCTCCCATAGCCTTTGTCATCCTCCACCTCTTCTAGCGTGGCAGTAGAAAGGTGATCTTGAGCAAGATGTGAGCAAACTTGCTTCACCCACTCTGTTTGCTTCGCTGAGCGCTGAACAGTCTCCTCCATATCATGGAGAAATGAGGGATCGGAAGTGACAAGGGCTTTGATTTGAATATCCATCTTGGAGCATGATTTCTCAGTATCTCGAGCAAACTGCTCCACGAGAAGCCTTAATTGTTTGTTCGGATCCTCCAGTGAAGTGTAGCATGGCTCTGCAGAGTGGCCCGTGAAGGCCGCCATGGGTAACTCCAGCTCCGATGGCCCTTCTGGTTGTGGGAGAAAGTCTTCTTGGTAATGAGGTTGTTCTTGATATGCCCAGGGGTCTGATTGTTCTCCGTAGTAAGGGGGTTGGTACTGGAACCCGAATCCATAGTCTTCTCCTCCTTGATTGCTATAGGGAGTCGCGGGGTAATACCACCCGGATGGTGGTGGATACCCCCAATGATTGGAGAAGCCATTAGGATCCATGATTCAGATCTGCACCAACAAAAACAAAAACACCCAAGTGAAAAGCAAGGGTGGAAAAGAAAAGAAAAGAAAAACGCTAAAGTAACAAACTTCTGCCTTTCCTAATACTCTAGAAAGTCCCCGGCAACGGCGCCAAAAACTTGATGCTCTAAAACACAACACCTAACAATGGCCAAGTGTAACCAATGAAAGGGACTGCAGTATAGTGGCACAAGTAATAAATATCGAATCCACGGGTCTCTAGAGTTACTATTACTCAGCTTCAGTTCATTATCTAGCAAACTAGATTAAGGATTGATTAACTAAACTACTCTACAAACTAACTAAGTAAAACTACTAATTACAGTTTGGGAACTCACTTAGGTATGATTCCCCCTAGCTCCTCAATTAGGTCCAAGTTGTAATTCCTTTTGGTTGATTTACTGTTGATTAAACTGCGGAAGATCCGACAGTAGTTTGGAATCTCTTAAGCTGACCAAACCCTCTCAGTCTAACTATCCGGCAGACGACTAGTCTTCACCGGGATAGAAAGCTGAAGCAATAAGCACAGAACTCCACTACTGGAATTGGATTCCAGTACAAAGCAGTAAACTGGCTAACTCTCGTATAGCCAATCTCCTACTATCGAATGATGAGACTCTAGCAACCTAATCAGATTCTATCTATCTCAGATTGCAGCAGGAATCAGGAAAAGTTGATCAGACTTCAATTGACTCAATAAACATGCATCATTCAATTATAATCAAACAATATAGCATCCAAAACTTCATACAAGAAAGATCCTAACTCATGGAACTAAGGTTCCTCAAAACCTAAGTGAAGGGAAGTTACTCCATAGAGAAGAGAGAGACTGCAGAAATCTGATCTAGATCTTCAATCTCCATCTCCAAGCTTGATTCCCGAGCTCCAATGGCGAAGAAATCCTCCAAAATAGCTCCAAGAATGTTCCCAAGTCGCTCTCTCTCTCTAGGGTTCGTCCCTTGGGTGTTTGGGATCCAAAACCCAGCTCTCCTCTTCTTTGGTTCGGAATTTGGCTTAAAACCAGGAAATCCCGACTCGCACGGCCAGGGTGCACGGCCGTGCATATCACCATTCTGGCCGTGCAACTCAAAACGCAGCGTGTCATTTAGTCGAACTTCAGCCCTCTCGCACGGCCAGGGTGCACGGCCGTGCGAGCTTCAGGGGTTGCCCGTGCGTGTCCTCGGTATAAGGCGCACGGCCATATTGCTCACGTGCACGGCCGTGCAGCCTCCCTGGTCTGCCCGTGCAGCTCCCCAAAAACCTCGCCATTCGTCCGTTCTTCGTCCAATCGACCCCAGACTCGCTCCTAAGCCTTCATTCACGTACTAGGACCTGAAACATCACAAACAAGCACAACCTAGCGTGAAATCGGCCTAAAACACGAGAATCAACACCTCAAACGGTGTAAGAATGGGGGTAAAAACATGTGTAAATGACGGTCTATCACCCACTTCTTGGCAAATTGGGTAACTACTTCTAGGGCAATTAGGGACACACCTCAAGTATCTATTTAGCGTCACGATTTGATTGTGTTTTATCGCTTTGTCGCCGTTTCGGATTAACTTTCGAGGGATTAGTTAACAATCCTTAGCCGATTGATTAAGAGAGCAAGGTTTCATAGCTTAATTGCTTTTCCTTAATTGATTGGCTAAGAGAGTGGGAGTTTTCCACGAGTTGCGCCATCCTCGCGGTACAAGAACATACTATTTCTCACTAGAGTTCTGATCATTGCAACTTGATACAAGTCTAGGGGGAGCAATACTTGGGTGAAGTTTTCTCATATACAATCCACAACAATTTAACTTCTTGCTTGCTTAAAATTGTAGTTTTTAGTTTTCACCAAAACCGATAGCTAGATAACGATTTAAACGGTTGAAGTAAGAGTACATGGACTGACCTAGGTTGACATTTTAAAACACTTTTCCTATACTATACCCTACTAGAGTTCATACTTGGGCTCTAGTCGAGATTTTATTTGGTGTAGTGGCTCGCTAAAACACAACTTCTAACAATGGTCAAGTGTAACCAATGAAAGGGTCTGCAGTATAGTGGCACAAGTAATAAATATCAAATCCACGGGTCTATAGAATGACTATTACTCAGCTTCAGTTCATTATCTAGCAAACCAAATTAAGATAGAAGAACTATAAATACTCTAGCAAATTACAATTTAAGTTACTCTAAGTACTGGTTGGGAACTCAGTTAGGTATGATTCCACCTAGATTGTAGTTAAGCCAAGTTGTAATTTACCAAATTCAATTCTGCTAACATTTACATTGCGGAAAGTTCTCAAACAGTTTGGAGTATCGACTAAAGTGCTCCAGACCCTCTTGAATAGATTACCCTGTGGGTGAATAACCTCCACTAGAATAACCTAACCAAGGAAATAAGATTCAACATTCCTCTACTGGGTTTACACCAGTATTGAGTAGTGAATCGACTTCTCGACTAAAGCAATCGAGTCACTACTTCCAATTCAGGTTGCTCTTTTAACCTACGCAGAGACTATCGTTCTAGGTTAAAGCAGAAATCACAGGAATTTGATAAGGACTCATGGAATTCAGAATAATGCCTCAATTGGATATAAGATAATCAATCATCCATGAAAATGGGTTCATATAAATCTTCCTAGCATACAAATATAGGGTTCCTCAAAACCTAAGGGAAGGGAAGTTACTCCATAGAGAAGATAGAGAATGTAGAAATCTGATCTAGATCTTCTATCTCCATCTCCAAACTTGATTCGCGAGCTTCAATGGTGAAGAAATCCTCCAAAATAGCTCAAAGAATGATTCCAAGTTGCTATCTCTAGGTTTCGTCCCTTGGGTGTTTGGGATCCAAAACCCAGCTCGCCCCTTCCAAAAATGCATAAAATGGGCCTTTATACTCGTTGTTGGGTCGTGGAATAGGCTCTCTAACCCGTGGATTTCTCCTGCTTAAAAAACACGGCCTAAAATCCTAATCTACGGTAGTGGAATTGGCTTCCATTCTGTGGAAATCATTGTTCCTATTCCCCTGTCTTGGATGTCTCGTTTCTCCCTCGTGCGAACTTCGAATTAGTCATCGTTTGATCCCAGACGCTCGTAGTCTCGTCCTCTTTATTTTCATGACAATATTACATGATTATTTTACCATAAAATGTGTTAGAAATTCATCTTCCTTTGGTCATGCCCGAGTTTCTTCTCCCGAGTTGCCAATTGATCTCCGATTGACTTGAAACTTGTGCCTATGCTTCACTTTACGTACTAGGACCTGAAATTTGACAAAAGAACAAAAACTAGCATAAAATGGGCCAAATAAGAGATGATGCAAGCTTAAACAATCAAGATACGACAGTAAAAACATGTGCAAATACAATACTATCATGTAATCAGGGCGAGTCAAGTTTTGGTGCCTTTGTTGGGGAGAGTTTACGTTTATTAAAAAAAGCCGTTTGGTGTTAATCTAGCCTTTAATTTTTGAATTTTGTTTGTGAATCTTGCTTGTCTTGGCTCGACTTGTTTGTTTGTGAAGTGTGTGCAGGATGTGTATGACCCGGAGTGATTCGACACCTTTGGAGCCACTAGACGAGAACATCAACTGAACTCTCCGACACTTGGCTCGGGAGAAAGAGTTAAGGGAAGCAAGGGAAGGATTGTTGGATCGGGGACAACCACACGTTGATCCCAGAGAAGAAATTGAAGCTGAAATTGAGGAGGAAGTTGAATCGGAAGAAGAAGTTGAAGTTGAGATAGCGGAGAATTAAAATGCCCAAGCGGGAAATGAGAAACCGAGGACCATGGGCTAGTACATGGCCCCACAGGCGGCGGATATTCAATCAAGCATCTTGCATCCACCCATGGCCGCTAACAACTTTGATATAAAGCCCGGACTCGTCACAATGATCCAGAACAATATACTTATATACAATTTCATGGCTTAAGGATGAGTCTCCAAGGGAGCATGTCCAAAAATCCTTGAGTTAGCGGGAAGCTTGAAGATCAATGGAGTACCCAAAGAATCCCTTCGGTTGAGGATATTCCCCTAGAGACTTGCAGGGAAAGCGTAACAATGGTTGAGCAATAGGCCACCCCTCTAAATAATCTAATGGAGTGACTTGCTCAACAAGTTTATGAATCGGTATTGTCCTCCTTCCAAGACGGCGGAATGGCGTAAGAAGATAATTCAGTTCGCCCAAGAGGAGGACGAGACTTTGAGTGATGCATGAGAGAGATACTCCAAAATTTTCCTCCAATGTCCACTCCATGGGTTTGGAGAGCAGTTCCATATTGAAACTTTCTATGACGGTCTCCATCTAGAAGATTGGATTCTCATTTACTCCTTGTGTTAAGGGAACATGCTCAACAAGACTTCGTCCAAGATGATCGCTTTATCTGAATATATGGCCGCAAAGGGCTATGATTGTGGTTTGACGAGACGTGGGAGAAGAACAAGTGAAAGGGGAGTACACTCCACGGAGTCATCGGATCGAAGATTGATAAGTTGATATCGTTGCTTCTACAAAATTGGAAGCAAGGCAAGAATCCGGTGATGGCATGTGACTGGTGTTCAAGTCTCAACCATCAGATCGCGGAGTGCCACTTGATGAAGGAAGCAAGCACCCCGAAAGAGCAAGTCAGCTTTATCGCTAATGCTTGGGGGATCAACAACACCAACAAACCCTATAGCAATACCTATAATCTGAACTCTCAGAAGGAGATGGTGAAGAGGCTAAGAAGGCACCGCCGATGCCACCCCTAGTTGTTGAGTACAAGCATCCACTCCCTTTCCCTACAAGGGTGCACAAAGACCGTTTGGAGGCGTAGTGTAGCAAGTTTATGGATATGCTCAAGAAGCTCAATATCACAATTCCTTTCTTGGAGGCAATGGTGTACATGCCAAGGTACGCCAAGTTTCTCATGGGGATTCTTGCAAAGAAGCAAAAGTTTGAAGACCTCGCCACCAATGTAGTTAAAATCGCGCTTTAAAACTTAAAAACTTACGATTTTACGCTTCTAGGTCACCAAAGCGCTTTCGTTTCTATGTAAAAACTTTAGTGTATAAAATCAGACTAAATTGCGCTTTAAAACTTAAAAACTTACGCTTTTACGCTTCTAGTTCACTAAAACGCTACGTTTTTACGCTTTTACTTCACCGAATGAGTATTATTTTCATGAAATTAACTGTAAAAGTATATTTTAAAAATAAATCATCGACAATATGATACATTTAAGATTAAAAGATGCATACCAGATACTTTGATGCATTCTGAACTTCAATAAAGTAATCTAATTCACCGTCTAGGCTCTTCTCAAATTCATTAGCATGGAGGGGAAGATGGCTTCTTGATAAGATTTATGTTTATGAACTTATTATTAATAGGCTATAAGTTGCTCTACTTTAAACAAGAATTGCAAGTATTTATTAACTTATCTAAATTTTGTGCACTCGTATTTTTCATAGTATATGTCGTACTTAACATATTTTTAGTTCTTTTACAGTATGCGTTAAAAACTTACGCTTTTACGCTTTAATTCTACGCTTTACGATTTTACCCCTTTTTCGCTTCTGGGTAGAATCGCGCTTTTGACTGCATTGCTCGCCACTGTAACTTTAGGTGAAGAGCGCTCGGCCTTCATCCAAAACAAGTGACCTAAAAAGCAACAAGATCCATTAAGTGCTCAGTGATTTGTGCATCCTTTAAGTGCTCCCTGATTTGTGCATCCTTTTCTCTTGAAAGGCTGAACTCTTTTGAGCAGAGGAGAATTGGTTGTGAAATATTGACAAGTGACACCTTGGAGGAAAAGCACACCTAGCAAACTCTAGTTACCGAGCAATGAAATATTCTCTTATATTTGTACTAGTTTTCATGTGACCGTAGTTTCATGCTACAACATATGGTTTTTTAATTGTATGTCAATTACATTGACTAATGAATCTTATTTGAACCAATTGTAATGGCAGTTCGCTGCAAAATCTATAATAGTAATGGAATTTTGGTTAGTCTTGGCATTATAATGTTGATGAGAAGATTTAATTGCTTTACATGTTGGCTGCAAAATATAATAGCAATAGAAGTAATTAGAAAATACAGTGACTAGTTGTTAGCAATTAGTCGTGCTAAAATACTTTGATTAATAGTTAATATTTAGTCATGGGAAAACCACTCATGACAAGTAGTAAATACTGTGACTAGTGGTTAACATTTTGTCACGGAGATTGATTTTGTCACACTAAATACTGTAGTAAAAGGTTTACATCCCATCTTTAAATGTGTTCTTTTATTGGATTTGTGCTAAAAAAAATGTGTTAGTCATAGGTGGGTCCGTGATTAATAGGTACAAATAATCATGGGAAATTATACCAGGACTAGTTGTAATTAGTCATGCACATATTTTCCGTGACCTTTACAATTAAACACTGAGTTATATATTAAGGTAAATTTTATGTGACTAAGGCTATCAATCACGGGAAACGCACTTTCAGACACACAATTTCCTGTGATTTAAGAGGCTTTTTCCTGTAGTGCATCCTGGTGAGGACCTAGATTGCTCATTCATGTGTTCCTAGGGCTTGATTTCTATGCATGTATAACTGTGGTTGGTGAGAAGTCTTGTCAGGTTGTGTGTCGATCGGTGAACAGAGTGAGAATTTTTTGTTTGCACGTTCTTAATGCATTCGAATGTTATTAGTGGTGGTTGCCAGTATCGTTTGTGATTTTCCATGTGTCGGTGCCAAATAACCATTGAGATTCATCCGCTTTGAGCCCTTTGATATGTCCCCAAGTCATCGTTTTTAGGTTGAGATATCACCTTGTTTGAGATTGGTTTGCTTGGGGAAAAGCAAACATCCAAGTGTGGGGGAGTGATTTGGGTCTAATTGCACATATTTTCCCCCAATAATCTTGTGGTGTTTGGGGTGTTTACATCGTTTGAGGTTCGATTTTACGCTAGGTTGTGCATGTTACTAGCATATTTCAGGTTCTAGCAGATGAAATTGGCCTTGGATGCAAAATTTGAATGAAAGAGGGTGAAAGCGGATTGAAAATGGCAAAAAGGCAGAGATCACTGTTGGAGAACTTTATCACGGTAAGCCGAGCGTGAAGAAGAGAACCAAACCGTGAAGAGTACCGGCGTCCAGAAAGTTTGGTACACGTCGCAGGCCTAAAAGTAATCATGGTCACCAGATCGTGATAATACCATCTAGTATGTGAAGGGCTTAAATGAAACAGTGTGTTTTTGCCTGAAATCACGGGCGAGGCTTCGAGATCACGGTTGTGATAATCGATCGTGATGAGTGCGCGACTGGGTATAAAATGAGAAGAGAACTGAAACTTAAAAAGGGGATCCTTGGGAGTGATTGTCTTCATCTTCTTTTGATTTTAGAGAGAGAAACTGATGAACAAAGAGAGAAGAAGAGGTCTAGGGTTTGCTCCTAGCTAGAGGATTGAAGATTTTCATCTCCCAAGGGTGATTGCAACCACAAGGAAGGAAGTCTAACACCACATCATTCCCTCATCTTTGTTGTAATCACTTGGGTATTGTGAACCCTAGCCTAGAAATGTGATAGGTTGTTAGATTTGAACTCTATGTGTGTTGATTGTGTGTTTTAATATAATGCTTGAGGCATTTTCATGATTTGTGAGTGTTGGGTTCTATATCTCATTTGGGTCAACTTGCCCACTTCTTGGCAAATTGGTAACCACTTCTAGGGCAATTAGGGATACAACTCAAGCATTGATTTAGCGTCACGATTTGATTGTGTTTTATTGCTTCGCCGCCGTTCCGAATTAACCTAAGAGGGATTGGTTAGAAATCCTTAGCTGATTGATTGAGAGAGCTAGGTTTCCTAGCTTAATTGATTTTCCTAAATTGATTGCCTAAGAGAGTGGAATTTTCCACTAGTTGCGCCATCCTCGCGGCATAAGAACTCACTATTTCGCACTAGAGTTTGGATTATTGCAACTTGGTACAAGGCTAGGGGAATCAATATACGGGTGATGTTTTCTCATATAGAATCCACAACAATTTAACTTCTTGCTTGCTTAATATTGTAGTTTTTAGTTTTCACTAAAAACCGAGAGCTAGATAATGATTTAAACTGTTGAAGTAGGAGTACATGGACCTACCCGGGTTGACATTTAAAAACACTTTCCCTATACTACATCTGCTAAATTTTATGCTTGGGCTATAGTCGGGATTTTATTTGGTGTAGCCAGAGTGTGTCAAATTGCCTCCCTCCAAAATGTTCTGTTTTACTTTTGTGTTGCCAAATGAGACAATTTGGCTCAATTGTCTCATTTTTTAGTCAATTGGGCACAATTGCCTCACCAGTAAGTTCCATCAAAATGGCCCCTCAATATCTATTTGTATTTCTACTATTTTTATTTATCTTAAATTATATTTCACTAATGATACTTTATATATGCGCAAGACGTCATCTCTTCAACTAATTGGACTCCATATCTCTAATTTTTATTTAGGGTTGATACCCTACTTTGGCCCGAAGTTTAGCGTAAGTGACAGTTTTAGCCCCACTTTTTAAATAAGAAATTTGTGGCCTATTTTTGAAACTATTAGACAAATTTGGCCCAAAATTTTCTTTGACCGTTAGTATTGACGGTCAACACTATTCCGTCAGTTACTCAACAAAAACCCACTATTATGGTATGCCACGTAATTAAATAATATATTATTTTAATTTTATGATTCAGTTACATTTTTTTAACAAATTAAGAAAACCCCTCTTATTCTCTCCGTCCGACCAAACAGTGTTCGGCCGACTCATCCTTCCCTTCCACACGCTAAAATCCTCGCCGAACCCGCTGCGCCACCAGTTCAGCCGTCAGAGAGGCTGCCAACGGAGCCAAGCTCATCAAAACATTTTGCGTTGCCACCGGG